CACATGCTACATGTGTTAGCATGTGTGGATTCTCACTGTCACTCTGGAGAGGTTTTATCTTTCATGAAAAGAACTCGTGTTTCCTCATTAATTGAGAAGGTGGGAAATTTGGTGGACAAGTTTCTTACAGAGGTGGTGATAATGTGTACTGGCGTGTACCGGTCCACTTAAAGCACTGTGTGGAACCAACTCCATCTACGAAGCTGACACCTTGTCTGAATTTATTTTTATGTAAACATGTGAGACTAAAACAAACAATGTTAACAAAGTGACATCAGARCCACTGTCGCAGTACCTGTAATTTCTTAATGGAATTTAGGTTTTTTCAAGCCAAGCTAAAGAAAAAAAGCCCAGTTTAAGCTTACTTTATAGTACACCTCTGGGTAACAAAGTGCACAACGTACCCTTTTTATTCTTCTCCTTGGTTACCACAGTCATGGACATGGTGGGSTGAGGGTTTGGCTCCAATACCCCCAGTGGCAGCCGGCTGACCTGCAGCGAACGGAAATTGCACTTCAGAGTGTTTTTGGAGGAAGAGTCACGCTTCTCAATGTCTTTCTTCCTCTCTGTTGGAGCCGCCACCCRGTAATCGACCTGAAGACCCATCAACTCTGTTGACTGACCACTGGAACTGGAAAAAACAACCAGGAGGTTAGTCTACAAGCAAACTTGTTTTAAAWAAAGGCAAAGGCAACACAAGTTTTTACACAAGACTAACTGTGTGTGTGTGTTTTTTCGCGAAATATCTCATAAGCCACTGGTATATGGACTGTACAGGGCCTGTATAGGGCTTTATTTATCCCTCCATAATGCTCAAAGCACTTTACAACACAATCTGTCCCCTTGAAAAAGCATAACAGCTACAAAAACCAAAAGTCATAGCCGCAATGTCCTGAAAGAGCATAAAGTTTTAATATGTGAGTTGCTAAAATGGCTGAAACTGTTTTTTTTTTCTTCAACTCTTCCCTTCTACAGATGTTGCCACAGTGACAGAGTTCACAAGAAAAATTTGGCAATTGCTTCATGTCGGACACTCTTCCCAATGCAACCTGGGCTGGAACCCATAGCCTCAGGTTTAAAAGACTGTGGATGTGACCGCTGAGCTATTGCAGCCTCAAAGTATGATGAAATAGTTACAGTCCAAAAAATGTATTGAATGAAACTGTAAACAGGAAAACAACAACAACACACACAAAAAAATGTAGCGGTTGTTCAAATTAGCAGAAAAGTTCAAAGAGTAAAGACATCTCTTTCAGTCAGGTTCCATGTTTTACCTGTAAGCACAGAAGCTGGTGTTGATTGCAGGAGAAGGGGGAGGTGTTGGTGAAGCCTCTTTAAGAGCAGGTGAAACTTGYGGCGGGGTGGAGGAGAGGAAAGAGGAGCCCAGAGGGGCGGCATCATCAGAGTCTCCTGCAAAAGGAAACACTTCATTCAGACTCTGAGCAGATTAGACACAGAATTCCTACACAGTACTGAGAAGTCAGAAATTTGCCTCAAGTCAGAGGTAAAAAAAAAAAAAGAAATACTAAAAAAAAAACATAATTTTCGTTTTGTCAAAAGTGAGAGGGACTTGATGGAATATTTATTGTTTGCACAGATTTTTAGAAGTACTTCGCATATAAATAATTTTATTGAMGTAGGTAAACTATGTTTAGTAATCAATTGTGTAATTATATATTTGATTATACTGTGATTAAGCTCAGAATAAATAGTAGTGTGCGCTCTGTTTTGAGTGACCCGTGATTTGGGTCATCTCAGTACAGACCATACTTTTGAGGGACGGTTAAGATAAAACATGTCTCACACTAAACAACAGACAAACACACAGTTTTTCATAAAATTTAAGAACTTGTGCTTTCCATATCAGTGACGTTTTTTGCCCCAAAGGGAGTGGTTCAGTCAGAAGGTTGTGCAGTGCTGGGCGGTATACCGTTTTGTACCAAAAACCGGTTTTTATTTTTGTTATGATATGAATTAACTGAATACCGGACACATTGGTTGAACACGTGCGGAACGTTTCGCCGCGGCCGCCAGTGAACTGTTTCCTGGGGGACATGTTTCCCGCAGCACCGCTAAGGGCATTAGCATGCTAACGTTGCAATAACTGGAAGCGGGGGGTGTTTCATCTGCTTATATTGACTGACGTAAAACAAACATCCCGTTTTCACCACTGYTGAATGTAGTAAACAACTCTTCAGTGACATGCACGGTTCGATTTAACTTGCGATGTTATAATGGAGACGTTAATGCATAGAGATTTTTACGTGCTTCTATTATGAAAAGCCCGGGGGATGTAGTTTTGTTGTAGAGTGAAGCTGACTGGTGTGCAAGGTGAGTCGTCCTTTTAAGTTTTATTAACAGACGATTGACCAAATGATGATCTTTTCTCAACCCTTCATGATCAGACTAAAGTGCATGATTACTGTCTACAACCAGGCAGAGAAGAAAAGACGTACAAGAGAATGGAGACAGTGATACAGAGGTACAGTAAAAGAAAAAAGTCAACAAACAAAGTTTGTACATTTTATTATCAGCTGAGAGGAAAAAAATACCGTCAAATACCGTGAAACCGGTGTAATTGTTGAAAATACCGTGATATAAAATTTAGGTCATACCGCCCAGCTCTAAGGTTGTGTATAAAAGTTTTGTGATTTCCTAGCCTGGTAAAAACCAGCCCCTTGTTCCACTCTTTGCTTCGTACAGAGGATCTGGACTCTCAGCTATTGAGAAATGATTTCTTTCTGTAGTGGTTTCACATAGAAGTTTAAAAAAATTGGATCTGAGTTTACCCAGTCACTAACGTTTGGCCATGACGTATGCAGTGCGCCAGCTCGACTGTGAAGGAAGCTAAGAAGCTAACTGGAAATTGCATGTGCTGTAAACAACCAGCCCCCTACCTGCAGAGATAATAAAGATAAAGTTATTCTATTTTCAACTCTAAAAAGAGACTAAGATTATCTGCAAATCTACAGAATATTGTTTTAAATAGAGTATACATGCTTTTGTTTATGTACAAGGATTTTTTTTAAATTAAGGGTGTTTACTGCAGTAAATCAGAAGATTTACTTTTCATGATGTTTGAAGTATGGTCATTTTCAATCAACTATGATAAGCCTCATCAGTCTACTACCTTACGTCTATGCTTGACATTAGGTAGCTACACCACTGCCATCTAGCGGTGCTGCAGATTTGTGTGTTTGTGTGTCATTTTCTATCTTGATAATACAAAATAGATCATTATAAAATATATGCATATTTTCTTATCAGCTTCAGTAATTATTTTTTAATTAATGCTTAGCAAACACATGAAGGTCACATGATGACTTATCTTCCTGAACGCTAACATATTCCATTAGGAGTATGTAAATGATATTTCTATGCTC